TGAGCACTGAATGAGAAAACTGAGTATCTCAAGACCAATTGCATCATCGAACCCACGCCCCCACAAACTGAAACCATGATAAACGATGGCCACATATTATAGGAAACTAGTACAGATGCCCGTGTGTTCGGAAATTTTTGCAAAACCTGTTCCACATGGCGCTACACACCACTTCTTACATCCGACTCTTGCAAATATCGAAAATAAGGTTACCCCTGTTCTCTATAAGGTCAATATGCCCGCGTGTTGGCACATGTTGAATTGTCGATTTTCGGACGATGAACCGTTGATGTGAAGAAACCTTGCTGATGTCCTTCCTAGGCGACTACTTCAGCTCCGCAGTGCCATCGGCTGGAAGAAGATTAGGGGTGCGCAGAATAGTCTTTGAGGGGGGAGAGGAACATACAGCGTGAATCCAAACCATTTTGATTATGTTGTACTCCCTCCGTTCCTTTTTAGTCCGTATATAAGATTCGGTCAAAGTCAAACTTTTTTAATTTTGACTAAGTTTATAGAAAAAAATATTGAGATTCACAATATGAAATCAATATTGTTGGATGCAACATGAAATTAATTTTCATATTATATAGTTTTAGTATTGTAGATGTTGATATTTTTTCCTACAAAGTTGGTCAAACTTTAGAAAGTTTAACTTTGACCAAATCTTATATGCAGACTAAAAAAACAGAAACACTATTGCATCTTGCCCACACGCGTGGATCCGCGTCCGTTTGTGGGTGCATGAATCTTGGCATGTTTGTGGTGTCACGTAGGACTGGACTGATGTGTGGGCATTCACCCGGTCGCCCACACGTCCGTTTCACCACACGGAGGGGCCGGTGTGTGGGCGTTTAGCAGTTCGTCCACACGTCAGTTTTTACTCACGCACAAGGGCTGATGTGTGGGCATTTGCCATCTCGCCCACACGCCCGTCTCCTCTCCCACACCCAAGCTGCTAGTTGCCATGTGTTTTGCAGTGTACATGGCAACTGCCTGGCAACTCTTTTTTTTTACTCGAACATGTCAGTTGCCATGTGTTTTGCAGGGTACGCGGCAACTGCCTAGTGTGCACGTAAGCAGATGGCAACTCTCTTTTATCCGATTTGTCACGCGTTTTTGCATGATACATGGCAACTGCCCTAGCGTGCATGTAAGCAGATGACAACTCTTCCTTTTACATGGTAACTGTCCTAGCGTGCTTGTGAGCACATGGCAACTCTCTCAATTGCCTAGTGTTAATAGGTGGCAACTCCTAAAGTTTTGAAATCATGACAACTGCAGTAGACCAGACCATACATGGCAACTGCAGTTGAGCAACCATGACAACTGCAGTTAAATGAATATGGAAGAGGGTCCAAACCATGGCAACTGCGGGGACGCTGGTGACTATCACACGGGGTGTGCGGGACCATAAGGTAGGAGGCCTGACGTACTGGCATGTGGGCATTATCTATTTTGTCCACACGCAGACATGTGAGAGGGACCACGAGGAAAAAAATGGCGTATGGGCATTACTTGTTTTGCCCACACGTAGGTGTGTGGGCTGATCCTCTTAAACACCACACAAACTGTGTGGGCAGACCCCTTAACGCCCACACGTGTGGGCTTTATCGGCGTTCAAAAGAAACGGAGGTAGTATTTTTTATTTTATTTTTCATTATTGAAGAGTTGAAACAACAAACAAATTACATGCGTGAAATTCAACGAAAGTCACTCAAGTAGGTGACACCGCCAGTGCAAAAACTAAAGTGCACAAACAAAAATAGGACGCCATGATGATTCGTTGGTTCAGTGGTTGACGACCCTGCAGTTCCTCCTGATCTCTCCCTGGTAACCGGTCTTCACTTCGATAGCTCCCATCTTGACCATGGCCTTGTTGAACTTGGCCTCCCACTGCCCGGGAATGTTGGCGCTGTCGCGCACCATCTGGGTCGTGGCCGGCGTCGCAAGGAGGGCGGCGTCCGACGTGAAGAGCACCTTGAGCGCCAGGACGTTCTTGTAGTACTGGTTGTCGAGCGCGTTGGGGGTCACCACGTCCTGGTTCACCGTGGGGTCGTTGGCCGGGCTTGGGCTGGCGGGGCATTGCCTCCTCAGCACGTTGGCAAAGCCAGTGTTGATGTCAGAGAGGACGGCCAGGCGGTCGGAGACGAAGGACGAGCAATGGGACACGCCAATGGTGTGGGCGCCAGAGAGCACGACCATGTCCTCCGCGGTGAGGCCCTTGGCGGCGAAGCTGGCGATGAGCTGGTCGAGGTTAAAGACCGGCGGCGGCAGGTTGTCGAGGGCCTCCGTGGAGTTGGAGACGCGCCCGTCGAGGCGGCCCGCCGGCATGTTGATCTTCATCGTCATCCGGCTGAGGAAGTAGGCGGCGTCACGGCCGGCGAAGGCGACGATGTCCGCGCAGGAGACGACGCCGGGGCAAGCCTTCTCGACGGCGTCCTTGGCCGCGTCGATGACCTCGAAGCCGCGGAGGCTGGGGAAGTTGGGAGGGCTGAGCTTCTCCGGCTGCGGGTTGGCCGGGGTCGGGTCGAGGAGGACGGAGCCGTCGCACCCCTGGACGAAGCAGTCGTGGAAGAACATGCGGATGAGGCCGGCGCCGATGCCGGCGTTCTTGTAGACGAAGCGCTTCACCTCGTCCCTCACGATGGCCTCCACGCGGGGGCACGTCTTCTTGTAGTAGCCCACCTGCAGGCCATGGCACGCCGACGACGACAAGAGCAATGCGCATGTCAGCGCGACGGATAGCTTAAGCCAGGCGGCGGCCATTGTCACCTCAAGCTCTTAACTAAGTTATCAGCCTTTGTGTACTAGTACTACCAATATCGAGAGTGTGATCGACCGATGAGAAGGCGATGAGATGTTGCTCGTAAGGTAGGGCTATTTATGCGTGCATCGACGACATTGGATAGCTAGTCTCATCAGATGATTAATCGACGACATTAGGTCGATAATTGACCAGCATGCTGTGATTTAGCTGGTATAGAACATGGAGGCTGCTGGAGTCTAATTGTGGCGGTGTTCTCGTTCAGTGAAATCGTCCTTTTCTTGTCTGGTTTGTCTTGATGAGGTACAAGCATGTTGTAGCCAGCGAGGTATGAGTGTATGATTGTACATTAGGATAGCTTTGATATTGTTGGCACCAGTATAATTGCGATTAAGATACGAGCTTAACTTCCGTGATAATTGTGATGGGTATGTTCTTACGTGTTCCGTGTGCCTGACAGGCAGGTCACGACGTTCATTCGTAAACATGCATGGTAGTGGGCTGTCTTTTGCCTCTTGCATGCGCATATGGTTTTTTTTGGCTTCCGGCACTTTTTTTATGTAAACCAGGTGGTTGCTGAATCAAGTTCTTGATTTGCTCATGGAGTATGCTGCTTCCAGCACATGGTGAGTCGGTTGCATGGAAATGCAAGGTGGACTCTTTTAAACAAAACTCCAGCAACTACATATATAACATGGGGATCAGTTTGGCCTTTTGACTTTTGTAGAACCAGCAAAGAAGTAAGTCGCTGGCGGGCTACAGCAGTGGATCTTTGTAACCACAGGACCATAAGGTTAACGAAAGCCTTGAAAGGATGGAGCATTGTGAGGCAGCTCAGAAGAAACTTAAGATAAACCTTAACGCGGAGTTTGACTCCCTTTTTTCTTAAAGAAAAACTCGTTGAAGATAAATATTTTTTTCAGGCAAAATAAGAAAATTATTGTACTTCAGACACTACAAGAAAATCAAAAGTTGCCTAGTCATCCACGAACATTTGTTGAATTAGCGAACAAGAACAAACTTTAAATTCACAAACATATTTTTCAAATTCACATAAATTATATAAATTCTTGAAGATCTCTTAAATTCATAAAAAAAAATTGGAATTTGAGATTTATTTTTGAAATTCACAAACAGTTTTTTAATTGACACACAATTTTTTATATTTATGAGCATTTTTCGAATCAGCAAACATTTTCTAATCAATAATTTTGTTTTGAAATTTGGTAACATTTTTTTGAATTTGTTAACATATTGTTAAGTTTCGTGAACATTTTTTTGAATTCATGATTTAAGAAGTCCTGAACATCTTACAAATTCATGAACATTTTTTAGTTCCCGAAAAGATATTAAATTTGTGAACAGTTTCCGAAATTAAGAAGTTTTTTCTGAAATCCTGAACATTTTTTCATGAACAGTTCTCAGTTTAAAAAATAAAATAAAGAAAAAGGAAAAATGAAGGAAAGAAAACGAAAAAAAAAACAGGAGCACCCAGGCCCCACTTGGGCCGACCCAAAATGTGCGCGGGATTTGGTGGCTATTTGCCGGCCTATGCACGTAATAGGGACTCCCTATTTTTACCGCTGGTTTGGTAAATAGATCCAAGTGCTTTTTCTAAAGGTTTACCCTGTCAAGGAAAAATGGACAATGTCTTTTGAACTGAAATGTTCAAGCTTTAACAGGTGCAAGCAGACATTGCACTATGCCTCGAAACACCTCAAGTCAAGACACCACAAGCGAAAGGCACACATAAGATTCAAGCTTTGCTCATGTTCACACGATTCTCCTGACGATTGTGTCACCAACTTAATTTGTTTCACTGCTTACATGAACCACATGGAGTTTGCGAGCATTAACAGCCAAACTTTCCCTGGTTGGATGCTCAGTTCAGGACGCCAGATGCTCTGTAGGATTCCACGCTGTCCCCCAGGGTCTTCTCTAAAGGCCTGAAGGTCCACCCTAGCTTCTGAAGTTTCTCCGAACTATAAATGGTATTTCCCTCCACTTCGGTGAAACTGCAAAGCAATTCGCAATTCGGAGAGAGAACAAGTTACGTCCAAGTTGAGCATCGAAAAGCAGGACGGATCGTATCAAAGAACGTTATGGTCTGGTGACATCTTTCATTAATTTTTGATATTCCATATTCCATATCCTAAACTACATGCAAAATTAAATCGTAGATGCAGAGCATTACACCTCCATAAACCTGGCACTCTACTATGCTTAATTCAATTTGTCAATCCCCATTCTAGTGCTTCCCAAGTGATGCTGATATATGCTCGTCTCAGGAAAAGATAAATGGACCATCTAGCTTGTGAAATGCAGAATCAAAATAGCAGTAAGACAAAAAAAAAAGTTGCCTGCTGAGGAAGGCGCTTACTTTTTGGGATAAGTGTACATTGGATATAAGGTCTTCAGTATGCTTATCATATCAGAAACTTTAACTGGTACTGAACTGCAGATGTAACGTCCAGACGCCTCTGGATTTTCATACGCCAATAGAAGAGCATCGGCAACATCACGAACATCCACTAGATTCCTGAGTTTATTTTCTACAGTATCACGTTCCCCTGCAAGAGAAAAGTGTTTCATTTTTACAGAAACAGAACTATAATATAAGAATAAACTAGTTTAGTTTTTTAAACAACTTGATCTTAAAGGTTGAAAGGTCCATTGTGCTATTGGTTAATATGCTTTGTTCAGTTTAGATATCAATTTATGATGACCCAGTTTAAACAGAGCAATGCTGAGCAAATTATCACTCTTTCATATAAATTGCATGTAAGACGAAAAAACACTGAGATAAACACACCCACCTTTGAGATAATTAAGGAGAATATTACTGCTCGTATTTACTGTAGACTGCATCAAGGGGCCAATTACCAACGACGGGCAAATAGTTACAATATCCAGCCCAGTTTTTGCTGCATAAGCAAAAGCCTCACGCTCTGCGAGCGTTTTGGAAAGGAAATACCAATCCTGCCACAATGACAACACACATAATTTATTTCAAATAAGTCATCCGGACCAAGGAATCACAGCATAAGATCATGAACATTCTGTGTGGTTAGCTGAAGAACATCATATTATTAGGAAGCGTCAAGGTTATTTGTGCAAAGATGCGGCTCCTCTTTATACTACTACCTTCATCCTTGGGTGAAACATTAGCTCACCAAACAAGAAGCCTACTATTAAATCATTGGTAATCATGCCTAATAGTCGGTCATCTAAGCTATCGGCCAAGAGAAGTGAGAGCTATTCAAGAGTTGGAGCTGGTATTTTATTAGTCCCTTGATCGGGTACCGGAAGTTTGCTTCGAGGAAGCAGTGCTATTTGGTTCTTCCTCCTTTCACGTCCATCTACAAATGATTTATGAAAGGAGGGAGTATATTCCAAATCAATATAAATCTGTGATTAATTAGCAGCTGATGTAGCACGCTATACTGTGAGTTAAAAAAGTTTCTTGGCAGAACAATGTTTAGCAAACGCAAAGGCATTGGCTTACTTACCTCACCCTTTCTGCAGAGATCCTCGTCTGACCAGCTATCTTCATCAAATAATTTACCCTTAGGCCAGTTAGCATTATTGGACACAGCAACAACTGAAGACACCATGACAACTCGCTTAACTTTCGCCTCGTAGCAAGCCTTCAAGACATTCAGTGTGCCTGTTACAGCAGGGGCTATAACTTCTTCCTACAAAGAAGTAAACAACAGAATATTAGAGTACACACTTGTTTCTAGAAATTAAACATTAGTAATACATCTGTATAATAGCACTATATAAAAGAAAGAGGTAGGTTACAAAATTCAGATAGGCTGATGTTGCACAAACCTGAACAAGTCGACAAACTTTGTCTGTTTTCATGAACTTGTTTATATAGGGAAAGATTACAGATTTCGCATTATGCGATGAATTCAGTATATCTCCTATGAATAACAAATGGTCATGTTTGGGGGGAAATCCTTGAGAAAATCCATCTAGGCCTCAAGGTCAAGTAAACTTTACATCTAACTTGGGATGCAGAGCCACGTATAGTTGCCAATAAAATTGCGCTATGTCAAACCACTCATTCACCTGCTATTTCCTCTTGCTTTTACCTCAAAACCTCACAAAACCGTCAAAGTAAAACACATGTTCTTGAAAATATCACCTCAGGATTGGTTGACTTGCCAGAAGGGACAGGGCTAGCAACATGAAAGACGCCCTCACAGCCAGCAACAGCGGACGCAATGCTGTCGTAGTCCAGCAGGTCAGCGCTGAGCAGCTGCAATCTTTCCCCAGCACCTTCTAGCGCCTTAAGGTGAGCATTCTTAGCATTACCTGCAGCATACGGTCACACACAAAACACACCACCACCATCACAAATTCACATATAACAAATTTCTTGGGTCCATCACAACAACGTATACCCAACTATTTTTTCAAAGTTTCAAGAACTAATAAGGCCCTGTTTGATAGTAAAGTATTTTCTAAGTATTCTAAGAATACTGCAGTTTTTTCAAATATCATAGTTTTATTTACTGTGACCTGTTTGGTTAGCACTAAATATTATGTTATTAAAACTAGAGTATTCTTAAAACTGTAGTAGTTTCTCTGCATATAAAAAAGAACCTTGGACCTCTTTTTTTTTTAAACAGAGCAAGGGAAAGAAACGAGCTAGCTAGGCTAGGTACGTGCCTTGTGGTGGATGGTTAGTACGTACCTTGCTGTTCAGTTTTTGCATTCTCCTGTTCTTATACGTGCGTATGGTAAGGTAAGGGCTACCTAGCTAGCTGCCGGGAATAACGCACTGGAAATTATAAAGAAGCCAGCTAGGCGTGTTTACCCTGCTAACGGTAAGCTATATGCTAGGTAGCTGTATGTGCATGGCAGATTAGTTGAATGCAACAGAAAAAATATTCAAACGGCCAGCTAGCTGCGTGTGTTTGCACTGCTAACACAATGGCTAGGCAGCAAAATTTATAGCAGTGTGCGACAACAACCAAACAGGTTCTATGTA